ATCAGTTATCATAGGTGTCACATTAATTCGTCATATCATATGTCACGTAATAAAAATAGTTAAGTTTTTTTTCATTAAAAGTTTATTTAAATTTAAATTTAAATTTAAAAACTCATTTAAATATGAATAAAAATGAAAATTTTAATTAAATAACATTATCTTTCAAAGTAACACATCCCCACGTACTTGTAGAATTGTAAATCCACGTCTTTGGTTTTTGTTTCAACTATTCAAACAACCTCGCTACATTTGACATATATATACACTTTTAAAAAACTTACAAGATAACTTTCTTTATTCTATTTGTTGTGTGATAATAATGTCTTTATTTTATTTTGCCTGCATCTTCAAAACTTGACATTACCAACTATATAACTGCTAAATTAATTAGGCTTCAAACTAGAAATGCTCAATCCTACTGTTCCCTTTCATGATAAGGGCGAAAACTCGGTCCTTAGTCAAAAATTTAATTAATGAAAATAAATAGTATTATGCACTTAAGTTAGGGTGGCAACTGACAACTTGGATTCCTCTTCCGACTAGGCTGACACCCATATACTTATCTACACGTAGGTTTATCTGACAACTGGGTCCCATTAATTCTCACTTAGGTCGGTGATTCATGCTTCTTAATCCAAACTCCTAACACATTAAAAAAAACCCTGCTATCTGCATCGTCCACATCAGCATCACATCGGGTCCCATATGTTCAAATTATTTTGTCGATATTTTTTCCTCCCACCTCCTACGCAGAAAATGGTCCAAGGATAACATTTATTATTATTGTAATCTAAATATGAAACAATTAAACTTTTTTCTTTTTGTGCCTTGTTATCGTCAAACCAGCTATCCCAGCGGCGACCACTCGCCGCTTCGCTGGCAACGGCCGTCAGGTTCTTTTACCTCGTTAACCTCAACCTGACCTTTCGAGATGCCTAAAGGCCACTTTGCCAGGTCACCCTTTCGTAATCTTCCACGGGCAATCCATGTCACCAAACTCGGATTATTCCCTACGTAGATGCGGATCGCCTGCATGCTTGTCCAAGTCAACTCCACCTTTCCTCCTCTCTCCTAGAGCCACGTGTACGTACGAACTCGAGTCCCCTCTTCTCACACCACGTGACATGCTATCCTGCAAATTAATCTTAATAATAATAATTAGCAACCTAATCTCGTTTTCCGGATTTAAGCTATCTTTGTTTCCCACATCCCCGTGAATAAGGGCCTGCGCCGATTGGTTACTTTACTTAATTATAAACACAGACTTTGAGAAAAATATCTCGATTATGTGTTACAATATTAGATATAAAAAAACGTGAATTACATTGCTTGTTAGGTTCTTATTGTGTCGACAATAATTTTTAATTGATTGTACAAGTCAATTATATTAATCAAACTTGATCAACCGATTCACAATTTTTATGTCGTTAAGTTTAATATTATTTATTTGAATTACCTAAAAGTGGAAAGTTGACATGAGACTTTTTACTCAAAGTCTAACTACAAATGAGCGTTGCAGTACGTGGTCTATGAAGAACGAGGGATGGATAATGTGATCCGATGAACTAGGTTAGAACAGGTGGCGAAGTGATATGTAAAGAAACCAATGAATGATGGTGACGAAGCAGGAGGTTGGTCGATCGTAGTGCGATTGCATTGCCGGTGATAGGTTGCCATACACTGGGGACAATTGTCCACGTTTCCATCCATTATTATTGTTATACGAAATTTGTATATCATGTTCTTATCATTCACGTTCATTTCTCAACCTCACAAGCCAGCATCACATTACCTACGAAGAGAACCGTTTTGTTGCTATATTTCTTCAATTTTTTTCCAACCTTTTTATCTCTCAGCAAAAATTTTCACATATTTCACGTGAGGTAATTATATTTACCTAATTATTTTTAAAAAAAAAGTATTTATTTTTACAAATTAAAACTTAAACTTAACCTTTACTAATTTAAACTCTAAAAATAAAATTTAAATAAATTTATAAATCACAAATTCACATTCTCAATTTAAA